CTATGTACTGCTGTCTAAAAACAGCTTTAGCAGTTTTCTGTAGTTGTCAATAAAGATCTCATATTATCGAAATGTTCAGTGACTGTTATAAACACTTTGTGTTATAAGTTCTGCTGCTGTTGGTGGTTGGCAAATATTAGATAGATGTCTGCTTTTGTCTCCAAAGACATGTTGTATTTTGATGATTATGTAACTTTTCAAGTTGCATATATGACCATGAGGGCCAATATGGATGCAGACAGAAATGTGGATCAACACATAAAAGCCTATGCTTGATATATTTCCCATATGCTTCTACTCTGTCTCCATCATTAGTAGGCAATTTTGTAAGTTCATGGTAATGTCCTTTACCATCTGGGAATAAATCTGGAAACAATAATGGCTCTAATTCTGGATCATTAAATGAAAGTGGAAGAGTGGTTCCATTAGAATTTTGCACAAATCCTGCCATTAGATGTGTATAATGAAAGTCTTCATTGTGAATTTCTGTGCAGAAGTCACTATTTGCAACAACCAAATCTCTTTGTTGAAATGGAGGAGCTCTTACATCACCTGGACTATAATATGCAGTGGGGAAGGGTTGAGAGTTTGCTGAGAGTGATGATATGTATTGTACTAATGGTTTGATATAACAGTTGTGTTGACTAAGCCACCTAGCAGCAGCAAAAATATTTGGAGTAATCCATGTCTCTTCTTCATTCATTGATAGGAAAGCACCAATGACTCCAGAATAAAGCTTTAAAGCATGCATATTTCAGGAAATTTTATATCACCAATAAGCTTACGATATTCTGAATATGGATTGCCACCAGTACTTCTTCCAAGGGAACAATGCAAAAATACTGGAGAAAGAAATCTCCTTTGCATTAAAGGAATACACTCAATTTCAAAAGGTATATGATGTAACTGAGGGCATAGATGTTTGGTTTTTTTTTTGGTTTTTTTAAGCAACTGGGACAAACAGATACTCTTGGATCCATTGCATTCCCAGAAAAAACCAGATCGACTTCAGGGAAGTTAATTTGCAGGGGATAAATCTCATTCTTATCATAAGAAATCCATTTGGCTTTTTAGGATATAATAATGTTACGGCGGCAAGCTGATATGATGAATCAGATAAGTAGGTCACATGATAAAATCTTTCTCCGCAGTCAGCAAAACACATCAAATTTAGCTTAGTAATACAAAAGTTAAATTAGTAACGGGCGTGTCGAAAAATCCGCAACGGGCGCAATAATAGCAAAACGTTTCGAAAAATCTGCAACAGCACAAAATAGTATAA